CTACAAATCTCAGGCACTTGAATATATTGCGACACGCTAAAATTCATGGCGTTGAAGGCTGATAAATGATAGGATAGCTTGGTCCTTGTGATCAGTATTTGGTGTGCGTGACGGTCGAGTGACTAGCTGGAGGATAGAGAATCGGATCCAATGGCTAGATCTTAATCTGGCTTCTATGATACTCCCACGTATAGAAGATCCAAATTATCCCCACAGAAGCCTGGCGCAAGAAGCGGGAGTCGGGTCACGCATAGACGGGATGTTTAGGTTTGTCAGAGAATTTTGTTTCCGTTTATCTTCGATGCACTTTTAAATCTTAACATAAGCTATAGAAAAAAATTACAAACAAATATCCGAAAAACAAACCTTTTTTCGATTTTTTATTCAAAGGCAGTTTATCTTACAATCTTCAAAAGCTTTCAATTCCCGAAAAGGTTCGAGCTCGACCTATTGTTACACTCTCGTCTAAACTCTCAAATCTGCAAGCATTACGCTGCCTGTCAAAGATACTAAAAGGTCTTACATAAGGATCACAAACTATTGCCATGGAGAGAGACCATGTTGTATACGTCATCAGGAGCGTTAATATGCGGACGGCTGCAATAGTACTTGAACAGATGTTTCACAGTCTTAGGAAATCTCATAATTCTGAACATTTGAAAACCGAAAAACTTCGTTTCTTAAAATACGTTACTTACGGAAGATTTAATTTACCACAAAATGAACATGGGATGATATGTTTTGTGAATTCTTCCTAGATTTAAGTTTGGATTTATAATATTATCAAAAAACAGTGGAAGAGCAGGTTCCTTAAGAAGCCATTTCTGGAAGTGATTGTTAAAAGTGACTGGAAAGATGCGGCATCAAAAACCGGCATCCTGTCGTTACTGAAAAAGCCGTAGAGTATGCTGCATAATTATCAATAATACAACACCACCTACGTAATTATTTCCTACCAAGATCATAGTCCACAATTTCTGTCAACATTTCGGGAAGTAAATCATCTAGCGGATGATATATGTGCATTACAAATAAATTCCAGTAAGGGTTTCCGGTTTTTGATAGACTAAGAAGATAACAGGAACGGCTTGTTCGAGTAAGCCGCGATCATTTTCGAACAATACCTAAGAAGAGCAGCGACTAATTGCTGATATCAGTTATGAGGAGTAATGGCATCCAGAAAGTTGGCCAACCGAAAAGCCGAACCGGGGGAAGGAGGGCGGTTGATACACGCGTCTTTAACAGTGGCGATGCGTTTACGCAATAGTAAGAAATACAGTCAAAGAAAATGTACATCACAGAGGTCTATCCAGAAATGGATAGGGGGATTCAAAACAAAGACGCCACGCGCCAGCGTTTCGGGGGGGGGTCAAAGCTTACCCAAGGTTGGTCTGTTGTTGAGACGGTTCGAAAATCTTTTCAAACACGTAGCCCTGCAGCTTCTTCCACAGCAGGTCGCGGATATTCTTCTCCCAGGTGGCCGTGGAGATTTTGCTCAGACTAACCAAATTATCCAAGATGTCGTTGCGCGCCTTGTCAAACAACTCGTCCCGATCCATCTCACGCAGGT